GAAAGGGAATACGGAAGTCAGGAAAAAAGATCTCAGGAGAGCAGGTGGGGAAAGCACCCACCCCAAGAACAGGCAGAAAGAGCCCAAACAGGGGGCATGGTTTTGCAGTCTGTCTGGAGGGCTTTTTGTAGATTTACTTGGGTTAGACAGGTCGCGTAGTTTGGAATGACTCAGGGCGGGAATTGATCTGGCTCAGGCTTATCTAGCAGAGCCTCCTAAATCCAACAGAAGCAGAGATTTATTTTCTGCAAGAGAAAGCTCTTTGTTTCTACCTATAAAGATAGGTCTTTTATTTTCTCCCTGTATGTGGGTGGCCGAGTGTGCACTATGCGGTTTCCCTCCCCTCTCTCAGCACCCCATCTAGAAGAGCCTGTGTTTAGACGTTCCCTGAGAGCTCTCGGTCTTACCTGATTGAGAAGCAAACTGCATGCATGGTGTTCTGGGTCTCCCCAGGCCCCAGATGTCCAGTTGAGACTCAGCTCTGTGCTCTCCTGGCCTCCCACTGTCAACTGCCTCCTCTGGGCCTAATCACGCCCCCCTCTACCCCCCACCCCCACCCCCGCAAACAAAAGAATTCCCACCAGCAGTCCTAGAACCACTTCCTTTCTCCCTTTTACCCTAAAACTTCCAAATCCCAGCAAACAATATATTCTAAAATTCCAGTAGAATTATTATACCGGTTATTTTAATATTATACTAAAGTCACCACCAACTCCCTCCTTGATCCGTGAGGTTATCATTTGATTTTGGTTTTGGCTTTTCTCATGGGCCGTCGGCGTGGACCTGGGCTTCTAACCCTCGTCGGGGGAGAGTCCTTCCCATGACCAATCAGGGTTGAGCCTCAAAAGCATGCGCCTGCCCAAGAGAAACAAATGCTTGCTTCTCACTATCCCTCTTTCTCTTTAAAACCAAATATTGATAAACATCTTGGACACTGAGGTCTACCACAAGGCACCCTGTCCTGGTTTCCTGAGGGAAAACACCTGGGCAGCGCTGGCCCAGCTGGGCTGTATCTCTCCAAGGAATGGCCCCCCAACTTCATCAGTTCGGTTATAACCACTAACAGCCGTCAGCTACAGCTCCCTGGAAGAAGAGTGGTTCATCACCGCCATGTTCTTGCACTCAGGAGCTCTTCCTCTCTCCTGGTCACTGCAGGATGAAGCAGTCCCTCATTTTCAGTTGGGTTTCTCAAGTGGCAAGATGGGGAGACAGCTGTCTTCCCAAAGGCACACTACCAAAAGGTAACATGCAGATGCCTACCAGGCAGTCTTTCACCAGCAAGTAGGCAACTAAGGTCATGAAGGCTCATCAGAAAACCTCAAAGTTGGGAAGCCTGAGTGGCTCAGTCAGTGAAGCGTCTGACTCTTGGTTTCGGCTTGAGTCATGATCTGGGGGTGGTGAGATCGAGCCCCGTGTCAGGCTCTGCGCTCAGCGAGGAGCGTGCTGAAGACTTTTTCCCCCCTCTCCCTCTGCCCCTCCTCCCTGCTCTTTCTCAAATAAATCTTAAGAAAGAAAAAAGAAAAAAAACCTCAAAGTCACTGGCATCATGGCTTCTGTGTGGAGCCAACAGTTCCTCCCAGCTTCTCCTCCTTGACCCCCACCAGGAACTGCAAATCCTTCAGACCCGTACAAAGCCAGGGCTGCAGTCTTTTCCACACCTCTTCTTTCCCAGGTAATCAGAAAGCTGTTGGTTGCAGCTGGGGTACTTGAGTTTCCTAGGGAAGTCCCTCTTGCTGACACACTGGCTTTCTTCTGCAGCTAGGACACCACTGATTGTCCTTTCTGCCTTGGTTGGCAGCAATCCGAAGGTACCTTGGTTTTTTGGATATATAACAAGTTTTCTCCTTATTGCCCCTCTTTTAGAATGTGGGTCCTTTCTTTAATAGTCCTGATGTATGGGTATATTATCACAGAAGTGATCTCAAATCATTTCAAGCAGAGACTAGAAATTTTTAAAAAGTAATACTAGTTTCCTAATCTATAAAAAAAAAAAAGCTAAATAATACTTGCCCCATAGAACTGATCAATAGCACAATGATTGCACAGCATCTAACACAGCAGGTGTTCAGTAAATGAGATCTGATTTGACTTAAACATCCTTAGTACGTTACTAATTCCTGTCCTAAGCAGAATTATTGATATTACCATGGCAAGAATTTTTCATTTAATTCATAATTTAGAACCCACATGATTGCAGATTGGATTGGAGACAGTTTACAGTATCAAAGAAATTATTTTTGAATTACAATATGTAAAATACGATCATTCATACAAAGAGAGACACAGAAAGAGGGAGGAGAAACAGAATTCCAGGATCCAGATGAGTTAATTACTGAAAATGAGCCTGACATTCGCTTTGTGTTTTCTGACAGCCAAAGCTGGGAGAAAATCAGGTTAACATATACGACTCTCATTTTCTGATAAATGCAACGTGTACCTCACGTGGAAAGTGAATTTTTCTCCTAACATTCAGAGTTGGGGTAACTGCTCGCACTGATCCTTATATGAGATATACTGGGTAAGCAACAGAAGGGCCACACGTACATTTGCCCAGGGGCAAAGGCATACACCCAACCTTCAGAAGAGAAGTTTCACTTCATCAGTATTAAATGGTTAGGGACCAGAGGGTGACCCCTTCTGGGGACGTTCTAAGGGTGCATAGAAGGGTATTCTTTTTCATTTTCTAAAGCGTTCACTGAGAAATTTTCTTGAAGAGCACAGACCAGTGCCTCAGGTCCACTGAGAATACCATCCCATTCTCTTAGTGCACACGTACTTAAGGAACGAGATGTTAAATGACTCCTCTCTATTCCAAAATATGCACCGGGCTTCAGATCTGTGAAGCAGCCTGGCCAGTGGCTTCACTCAGAGTACAGGCTGATCCCTCTTGTTAAGCCTCCACACAGCCTCGACTGCGGCTCTCTAAGCCCGGCTGACCAGAAGGGTCTGCAGATGGAGAGACTGTGGCTTCGTCCCTGGGGGGCCTGCTTCCCATTGCTCGCAAATAATCAGAGACAACAGACTTCCCTGGGAAAACTATAATCACCCAACTAGGGGCAAGGCCAAATGCTTGCAGAATTTATTGGCTTTGATGAACAATTAGGCGTTTGTTTTTGTAGGTAATTAGAGTGCAACAGCAAGCTATAAAGGGCCCTCCAAGAAATTGAAGCAGACTGTAGCTAAAGGCTACTGGAGTCGGACTGAATCTCACCATTCATCTCGGCAGACCTCCTGCGCTCAGACACCAGTGGTCCCCGCACAATCACACAGGTCAGCGGGGAGAAAATGGCCCTCTGTGTTCCTCACGTCCAAGGAGAAAGGCCTCCATGCGGCACGTGTGTGCTCACACGCGGGTGCAAAAAGCACTCCAGCGTGGGCCCTGGTACTGAAGGCTGCTTGGAATCTTGTAGTTCATATAAACAGATGCATTCAAAAGTCCACGACAACCCACGTGTCGGAAAATGTTTTGACAACTGCATTCTCAAGACCATTAGAGGTCCTTGATTCTGAGGAACTAGGACGGGCTGGGTGGGACATTTGGCCCAAAGATGAGAAGAGAGGATGTTTGCCAAAGCCATACTGATTTACACTTTTCTCTCAGCAACCACTCTCGGCTACAGCTTTTGGCATTGTTGTTGTTGTTGTTTTTAACAAATTAGAAATATGAATAGATATTTGCCTGTAATTAATTTTTTTAAATTATTTCCTAGTAGTATAGGCAAAAAAAAAAAGTGTGGGCAAAGGGCTGTCGCCAATATTTAAAAAATACTGTCGAGATAAAAGAACTATGTACTTAGAGGCAAGTGCTCATTTAGCTGCTTTTAGCTGATGACATGTTATTTCTGCCTTAATCCCAGGAAATACACACGGGATTATTATCACTCGCTGTACTCACGTCATGATACTCAATAGGCACAGAAAAGCTAACTACCAAACCCATCTACGGGAGTGCAAAAAATGAGAATGGGATGAGATAAACAAAACAAGGCAAAATATATATATATAAATCCACAGATATGGCTAGCCCTAGAGGAAACTGCTTTTGTCCTCCTTATAGACTGACTTTACTTTTGCAGAAGGCTGAGCTCACATTTTGGGTCCCAGGCATCTTACTCCATAGGTCATTAGGAAATGCTTTAAATTTTTTCACCAAGAACTAGATTTCCATTTAATTTTATTCTATCCAACCCAATATAAATTTTCCTATTGTTCTACATGCTCTGACCTCCTCGATTTACGTATTTATTTTTTAAGTTCTCGTGTAGTCATACCACAATTTTTCCTTCAGAGAAATCCAAAACAGACACCTACTGCCGGAGAAATAGTAAACCCTCAGGCCACAGTTTTAGAGTCGGTTGGCTTTCTGCCACCTGAGACTTCCTACAGGTGATCTCAATCTTAGGCCAGCCACTCAACCCCTCTGACCTACTGTTTCCTCCTCTGAAAAACCGGGAGGCTGCCTCAGATCTTTTCCACATCTTTGGGCTCTGAGGTTCTATGGCTCTCCCCGACTCTGGGGATGTACAAAGGCAGCAGCTGATAATTCTTTAAAACTAAGACACTGACATTCTGCCTTCAGACAGTTGGGCCTTGTTTGAAACCGGCTCTCAAGGAAATAGAAAGTCAACAGTATGAAGATAAATCCCATTATTTGAACGATAGAGTGAATCAAAGATCATGCTGGTCCAGGAAAGGAAATGCAACCAAAGAAGACACTCTGAGACAAACCTCTTCCCTCTATAGTGTGTGCACTAAGAATAGACACGAACACGAAAATAACACTTCAAGTCTCAGAGACCATCTGGTCACTAATCTCTCTGGGTTCCCTGAAGGGCTGGGACCCAGGCTTGCTGGCCTAGGTCTGTGTTACAGAAGAAGCAAAGGCCAAGAGCACCACTGTTTTAAAACTTTGGGAATTCAAGAGGAAAAAAAAAATATATATATATATATATTCAGAAAGGAATTGGAAGAGGCAGAACAATACAGAGTCTGATACTTACTTGTGGCCCAGCTCATGAGCGATGGTAAAGGCCAAATTGAGACCATTGTCTTCGGCAAGCACGCATTTCCTCTTAGCACTGCACACACCTCCTAAGTAAGCAATTCCTGCAGCAGAGACACAAAACACATCCTCTTCAGAACGTGGGAGGCCCTGACCTCGCCAGGCAAGTCCATATGGTCAACATCACGCATGATGGAGAGAGGAGGGGCAGACTGGAACGATGATGTGGCCACAGGGCTGGAGCCGTCATTCCAGAGCTCCTGCGGGGGATGGGCTGGTGTTTACTGCTTTTGGATTCACCGATAAATCATTAGTGATAATAATAACCACCAGGCAGATCTCCCAAGCATTTAATAGTGTCAGGCAATGTGCTGCATTTACACGTGTTATCTAATTTAATCCTAATTACCCAGGGTGGCGGTAACAGAGGGAGACCAAGGCTCAGAGGGGAAAGGTAAGTTGGATTGGCGCGTGGCAGTGGGATGCTCTCCAACTTCAACATGCAGGGCTGGGACGAGGTGAGGCCAGCAAGGCAAGGCACCCAGCGTGAAAAGCTGAAGGAGGGTCCGCCTCTCCAGATCTGACCCTGCACTTGCACGCCCAGAGAGGGAGGGGGTGCCTCCTTAAGTTCTGCACCCCAGGCACCTTCTTTCCCTCCTGACAGTGCTAGCCCTGCTAGGGCCAGTGCCCTCAGGGTGGGAGCATGGAGCAGGGCAGCAGCTAGGCTCCCAGAAAGCAGGCCAGGGAAGGCTGTGCACGGTATTCAGAAAAATGTTTTAGGAACCGTTGGGAGAGAATGAGACCGGGACCCGGAGGGAGGGAGAGAGAGAGAGGGAACGCCGGAAGAGGGAGGGCCTGGGAGTCATCAGTGAGGATGAGCCCCACGGACCAACTCGCTCATCTCCACACACACCTGACTGGGGTCCCTTGGCCGCGGAGACAAGAACCGAACCCAGGCACCCGGGTGGGAGGCATATGCAGGGAAAGGGTGTGAGCAAGCAACAGGAGGCTGCCAGCCTCTGGAGAATGGAGGGGAGTCTTCTAGGGGAGAAAGGTTATCCCGGCAGAAAGGCGTGTGTGAACAACAGGAGGGCCTTAGCCAGGCCACACCTGAGGAACGCACTGGCCATGTATCAGCTGCCACTCCCCACGGCAGCTCTCCACGTCTCCTGTTAGCTCCTGCTATCTCTGCACCCGGGACAGGCATCCCTCATTACCCAGGTGCCCCCGGGGCTCAGCGCAACAATGGCGGGGTGAGGGGGGGAGGGAACGGACCCCCTCCCCCTCCCAGGGCTCGGGATGGAACCTGTGCGAGGGCCAGAAGCATCTGCACGCCCGCTGACCGCAGCCTCTGACCCCTTCATACAGCATGAGACGCATGAGGGGGTGGTGGCCCAGGGCGACTGGGGGCTGTGAGTTCACAAGGGCTGTGGGGCGGGCTATGGCTCCAGTGGCCCCGTGGCCAGGCAGGTGCTGCCCAGGGGTACCTGGTGACCAGGCGGGCGGAGGCTCTCCCAGCCAGACTCTCCCCACCAGCGCTGTGCCCTGGGGGGGACTGTGGCCACCGGCGCGAGAGGCGCCCGTTTTCCACGCCGTGCCCCCCTAAACTGCACGCTGCCCCCGTTCGGAGGGCCCCTTGTGCTAACGCGCACCAGAGGTCTCAGGAGCGGACACGGGCCTTGCAGGCACAGGAACTGGAGAGGGAAGGAGCAGGCAGAAGGCGGAGGAGAATGGACAGGGGGAATTAATTAAAAATGATCCTCTTTCCCTGCGCCCCAAAAGCGACACCTAACCTCTTTGTGGACATCAAATTCAAACGGAGGGTGACCTCAGCCGCACACAGGGCACTCCCTCCTTCCTCCTGATGGTCCCGCAGGAGCCCCAAGAGGCAGAGGTCCCTTGCTCCCCCCCTCTGCTCTGCAGGGAGATGCTGCTCGGGGGCTCAGCTCACATCCGGCACAGCGAGCCGGGACCACAGCGCAGGTCTATTTTTATTTGGAAACATGCAACGTGCTTGGCCAAGGTTGAAGAATTAAGAAAAAAACAAAAAGAGAGAGAGAGAGAAAAGGAAAAAAAAAAAACCGAAATGTTAGTTGGCCTCAAGATGTGTTTTTTTTCTTTTTTTTTTTGCACGTGGACATCATAATCCAGCAATGCAGACTATTGGAAGGAGAAAAATGACAACCAGAAAGGACACGATTCGGCTTCTCGGTGCCTTCAAGGTCATTATTCTGGTTTTGTTTAAAAATGCTTTGTGGGTTGCTGCGCCAAGTCCAGCAGTGAGTAGGTGGAATGCTTCTACATAGCACGGATGGTATGTGCATACAACACACGCACACCCTCAAATGCACACCCAGCAGTGCTCTCCTGGCCCCGGGCCTCGGCCTCCTGGGTCAATGAATCAATCGGAGCAATCAGATGTGCACGCCCCCGGGAGAAGCCATCTGGTGAATGGGGAAGGGAGGCATCTGAAGCCAGCTGTGCTGAGCTTGTGGTCCCAAGAGCGGCTGCTGAACCAGCAGACTTTGATGCCACACGAACACGTTCCCTGGCCTCCGCCGCACTCAGCACCCCGAGCCGGCAGGCCTGAGTTTCCACTGTAATTAGGTAACACGCAACGTTAGGGAAACAGCTAAGCAAAGAGCCTTCCAATAATTGCATTTTAATTTTTCCAAGGCACAGATGATTTTTTTTTTTTTTTAACGAGAACACAAAGGATCGGTTTATTTATGAGAAATGTTCTCACATGAAGGTGGATTAAGGTCTAGTGCTTTGAAAGATGTATTCCAATCATGCACAGCCTGGTCAGAAAAGCGAGCAAGGCAAAGCACATGAGAGAAGATGGCCCCTGAGACACAGGGCAGGAGCCTTGAGCCTTCAGGACCCACGGTGTGGAAATGCTTAGAACTCACAAATCAAAGTCTGGAGAAAATCCCAGGTTGTGGTCAAAGTAAGAGCTGCAGGCAATAAATGGCAATTGAGCCATGTGCTTCAACGAGAAACAAAGCCCCACCACTATTCCCTGTTCCCTGGCAAGAACGGAGGAGCAGTGTGGAGGGGAGGAGAGGCTGAAGCTGTGGCACCAGAGGGACCTTCCGACGGCACTGGAATTCCCTACACAGACAGCAAGACCCTAGAGTGGTGTTTTCCATGCCTTTACGCTTCCATGACTTACAATTCTTTGCCTAAAAGAAAAAAAACAACATAGGACTTATTTTTGAAATGTTAAAACCATCGATTCCACATGTTCGCAGAGCTCCTTGGAACAAAAAGGGAAGCAGGAAGGCAACTGGCATTTATTAGGGTCCTCTCAAGGGGCAAGCACGACTTGGAATGCATGATCATCCTTTATTCAGTGGGTATGGTTATTGGCCCCATTTTACAGACAGGGAAATGGAGGCCCAGTAACCAGTTATATGGCTGACCAAGCCCAGACCCAGATACAAGTACAGGACTCTCTTTCTCCAACACCAGTGTTCCTCCAGGCAAACCCTGAGCCTCCCTCACCAAAGCTTTGGTGACCGACAACAATGAGTGATCTTTGGGGGTTTCGAAGATTTTCATAAATCTTAATGTGTGCTTATGCAGAGATGTGGGTCAGGTAAAATAAAGGTTTCAGGTGTTTAAGTCCAAATGTTTTTTAAACTAAAGATAAAAAGGACTCAAGGGGTTTGTGCGATGCTAACTCCAGGATCATGCAGTTGGTTGAGCATCTGACTCTTAGTTTCGGCTCAGGTCATGATCTTGGGGTTGTGAGATCAAGTCCTGTGTCAGACTCCAAGCTCAGCATGGAGTCTGCTTGAGACTCTCTCCCCCTCTCCCTCTGCCCCTCCTGCCCATGCCCTCTCTCTCTAATAAATAAATAAATCTTTAAAAAAAAAATCCAAAATGCTGACGGTAGAAATGAAGAGCTGTGAAGATTTTTTCTGATGCCTGGAGAAGTCTATCGGATTCATTCAGAAAAGCCAGAGTCTCCTAACCCATCTTCCCAGCCACGTCAACTCAGTGTGGATATTCTCCCTTCTCCTTTCTTTTCTTTTCCTTGGTAGGACTGCAATTTTGGAGAGGAAATTGGGTGAGGAGGTTTAATTATTTTCTTTTTCAGTAGAAAACTGCATGGTGTAAGCACATAATTCTTAAACTCAGAGTTGACCATATCCTTTCTAGATTAAGGAGTAAACAACACACAACTGTATAAACTCTGATTTATCCAGCAAATTGTCATGTGTAAACAGTTTGCAGCTGTTGGACTTGTTGGCCATTACTCATACCTTCTTGGACTCTGCCTCTGAAAGAAATGGTCGAGTTTCTCCTACCAACTGCTCATAGTACTAACTCCATCACGGTTATCACCGGGATACCACGCTGCCAGTTACAAGGAACTTATATCTCTTCACTTGGCAATCACAGTGGTTGAGACAGAGCTGCACATTCAGCCTTGTGGACACGTCTTCATGCTCTCGTAAACTTCCCTAAGTGGTTGGAGGTAGAATTTGTGAACAGCAATTAGGAGCAAATGTCTTAGGGTCTAGGATGTGACAAATGATAAAGAACTACAGTCGATTCTCATTATCTCTGGGAGTTAGATTCCAAAAAGTTGCTGTGAACACGAAATTCTCAAATACAGCACCATTGCTCCTAGGGGACATACAGGGTTAGGTTCCTGTGAGCCTCTGGTCACAATATCTTTGTCAACTGGCCCATATATAACCTTGTTTTACGTGTGTTCCTGTTCAAAGACACCTTATTTAATATATATTGTATTGTTGATCCATTAACTTTGAATTCGTGGCCAAAACTCCTATAACTCATGCCTAAATGAAGCTCATCTTGTATTTTTCTCTGTAAGACACACTGCAGCCTTTCTGTGCTTTAGAACACAAGATAGCACGTGAGCACTATTCTCGGAAGCCATTGTAAAAAGCAAAATCACCAACAAAAAGCACAAAAATGTAAAAAATATGGCACCAGGTGACCATAAAAAGGACATTTTTTACAGTATGAGAGTTGAAATGAGAAGGCAAAGGGTCACCTTGTTCAACCTCATCTGTGAACACGCCTCTTTGGTAACTCAAATATTTTGCTTCTCTGCACACATCTGCAA